AAAACAAATTCACTTTCTGGAACTGCACCTACGTACCTGTGACATCCTCAGGATTGCGTGGTCTCGTAAACTGTCGTAGCCTTGGTAACAATCTGGTGTATCCTGGTGGCATAAATCGCGAATTGGCAGGATCCCATTTCGTAGCCGTACCTGTTATGGGTAAGGGGGTAGAAGTGGTTTGGGCTGGAGGTTAGGGTTAGGTGTTAAGCTCAGGGGTTGAGGTCAGGTTGGGACTTGTCTACTGCAGGTACAACTATGAAAGGAGATCGGGCCCACTTAGCGTGTTTCGCACATTTCGAGAGATGGACCTCCCAAATTTTTGCGATTTGACTTACTGCGAACGGTTGCTATTATCGCGTTGACCTTCACCCAGTGCATCCAGCCAGCGAGATCGCAAGCACATCTACTGTCAGAAAACCAGGTACAGGAGAACTGCCAGTGCACACCAGACTGCGAGGGCAATGGTTTTGCTGATTACCACATAGCAAAGCGCACATACTTCGAAGCCCAGAAGGGTGACACACGTCCCGCATTTGCCTGGACAATCACACTTCAGAGACTGGGTAACCAGTCAGGCAGTGACTGAAAGACACGCACTTCTCACATGCGTGAAAGTGCCACAGGTCACTTTAAAAAGAAGCCGTAACGGCCTTGCTGTCAGTCCATTAATCCGTTACTCAGCACAACTGGGCAGACAGCGTGAGTTAAGTTCGGGCGTTAGTCGGCAGCCTTCCAAGCCACGGCTCTTGGCGCGCCGTGATAGTCTCAGATTTGGATCCCGCATGCAGAAGAGGAGCCGCATGGAGAAGGAGCCGAGAAGTGTACTTCCCACTTGCGTGGGATATGGCAATCAAGTGCTTCCTGCGGTGATATTGCTGTATGACGCGGGTGCTGATGGGGAATGTGTGATGTAACCAGCGGTTGTTTACTGCAGGTTTTCGTGGATGCGCATGTGACCTGCTGAGCCCATGCGGTGAGATAAGGCCCGGAGACAATGAGGACAGTTGGGCCAGGTGTGGCAAGTGTAGATTGGCGTTGTAGGCATTAATTTGCCAGTCTCCGCGCGATGGATTCGCAGGTGACCGACCAGACTGACGTGTGAGGTGAATGTGCAATCACAATGGGAACACGCATGAACCGAGTGCACATCGCTGAGGTTGCAAGTGGTGGTGGTGATAGGCCATCAGACGTCTCCCCTCAGTGAGGGGTTGTGGGAAATCGTGATGGTTGTGATGCTGGCCGTTGAGGTCGATGCAGGAAATGGTGACGGCGGGCAGCGAAAGTGTGATTGACTATGACGGGGATGGCGGTCGGCGCGGTGGTTGCGTCAGGGGCGAGAGTTGGAGAATATGTATATGTTGTCGAATTGATGGCGCATTGGGTTCGAAGGTGACCGCCGAGACCGTTTAGGGCGCAGGATGAGCGTTGGCAGCGCAGGCATGTTGGAAGCGGCGGATGGTTGGCATTGAGGAGGCGGGCCTCTCAGGTCTCTGGATTGATATGAAGTCGTTTATGCGAATTCTCAAATGTGTCATTGTGGCGTCATTTTAGGCCTCCCTGTAAGCGAGGACCAGTGGCGATATCATCAAAGAAGAGTTGTTTGGGCAGATGTGTGTCTCCATCCTCACGAGGTGGTCGCACTGACGTAGCCGCAGTCGCTTCAACATGGCATAGATGCTGAGGACTGCAGTCCGTTCTAGGACTACCGTGTTGGGTATCCTGTCTAGTCATTTCGGCTTTAGTATTCCGCGAAGGCAGCTAGGATGGAAGTAGATGAACTTTTTAACATGGCTGGATTAGACAGCCCAGGTCTTCGCTCTATGGAAGTGTCCTCAGGGCGACGACTGTGTATATTTTCAGTTAATTAAGCAGTTGGAGGCCGTAGTGATTTCACACGGAGTTCTGAAGCCGACCGAATGCATAGCTGACTTTGGAGATCTGATGGGCCACTTCGTCGTCGATTCTGATGTAGCTAGACATTATGCTGCCTAGGTTATCCACGATCTTCAGTTTGCTGCTGTTGACGCGGATGCGAGGGACACTGTACTCAATGGTCGATGGCTGTTGATGCATGATCATCGTCTTGTCCTTAGCCGGAGGCGAGGAGATTCATGCTCTGTTGCATGACTTCGTCGGTCGTGCGGCTGAGTGCGCAGTCGTCAGCGAAGAGCAGATTTTGGAAAGTAGCTGTGGAGGGACGCGCCAGGGCTTGAATTCACCGGTTGTTGAGAAAGGGTCCTTTGGTCCTGTCGTTGACGCGGATCCCGGAGCGTTCATCAAAGCAGGGTTGTAAAACTAATTTGCCTGCATAATAATTCCATAAAAATTACGTTACCTCAGGATGCTAGCTTTTGAACGAACTTCCTTCCGGCTGCATACAAAAACTTTACTCTGTAAAAATGACCACTTGAGAAGCATACATTTGTTTTATTGATTTTGGATGCTCTTAGATGTTCAACTATGTTTCACGAAAAACACACATAAAAATATTCAGCCATTTGCTTACTCGATAAAAAATGGCGTCTTCTTACAATTTTATACTCGAAGGAAGGGTATAATTCGGTTTTAAAGTTTCTAATTGCGGGATTTTTAATACCATGAAGTGGCCGCTCATAAAATGTCATATCTCAGCATTCATCAATGTGGCTTGCAGAGTTAAACAATATGACCCTAATTCACTGCAAAATGTGACTAACGACATATAGTCTCCTCTTAATACGCTAAAGGAACATATGGTTTACCGTACGCAGAACATATACGGCTTGTTGTTTTGAAACCCTGAACGCAAGTGTAACGGCAGGTCGGGTCCAAATGTATTTGGGAATCGGAAAAAGTTTTTGAAAACCGAATCATACCGTTCCTGTGAGTATAAAATTGAAATAAAACCTAGTTTTCTACCAACTGAGCATGGGAATGAATATTCTCATGCTTCCTTTTGACGAAAAATAACTACATTTTTAAGTGTATCGAAAATAATCGAAAAATGCATGCTACATAAGTAGTAATTTTTCACAGAGCATCGTTTGTGCATGCAACCGGAATGAACTTCGTTTGAAAGCCAGCATCCTGAGGTAACTGAATCATTATAGAATTATTATGCATACAAATTAGTTTTACAACCCTGCTTAATTAATCTTTTCGAAATTAAAACGCATTTTGAACTTTTGGTTGACATTTCTTGAGTTCGTCTGCCTACTATAGTTGTGGAGTGAGGCTTCCGGGCCTGCATTCGCCCCCTGCTGACAAGGTGGCCGTCGGTCCCAGGGCGCTCATCACGGTAGACGTTCATCATTATGCCAGAGAACATGAGACTGAAGAGGGTGGGGACGAGTACGTAGTCCTGCGTCATTCCATCGTTCTCTGCGAATGCCTCGTAGATTGCACCGATCATTCCATCGTGGAGTTGACGTAACATACACGTCAATTTCTCGGGACAGCGGAACCCTGCATAATTATCCACAGCCACTCGTGATTTACCGTGTCAAAGGCTCTTGTCAGATCCCTGAATTTGGTGTGGATGTAAGTCTGCATCTCCTCACACTTATAAACCTCTCGCGGGGGAAAACGGTGCTTGCCCTAAAATAGCTGTTTTGTCGCACTAGACGGATACCACTCTCTACTAATTGTAACTGGATACAGTGAGAAAACGTCCAACAACCTGGGCCGCCAACATGATTGCATATCACACTCGCGGCAGGACTTTCGACCTTGGGGAAGAGTGCGGAGCAGAAAATAGAGGGAGTGAGGGATGGACGAGAAGAGCGGAGAAAAGGCGCGCAGGATTCGAATAGGACAGGTCTTTCAGCCACCGGGTCTGTAGCGTGCTGAGTGCCGAAATTTAAGAGTGAGGAGGCGAAGATAACCAAGTGGTATTCAGCCCTCCTGAAGGGAGGGGGGAACTTAACCTCAGACCTTCTTCGGGGCCCGGGGCGGAGCCTCATTTTCGAGATGACAAAGACGTGGTTATCATCACGCTTTGCAGCATGGCGCTCGTACCTACTGTATCTACCGCAAGAAGTTTTTCAAGCAACTTTGAGCCGCTGAATAATACACTAAATGATGTCATGAAGTAAAGTTTTGATTGCTGTGCAATGTATCAAGATAGCAAGCAATCGTTTTGACAGTTAACCATAACGAAGATATTAATTTTTTAATGTGATCCCATGCAGTTATAGCATTTCGAAAGAAGTAACTAACTGATTAAAACAGCCCACTGTAGCAAAGTTTCGCATGTTGCAGAACAACAGGCTGGTACTCTTTGTAAAGTCACTTTCAAATTACCCCATATCTGGACCCACATATACTGCCCGAGATTCTCCCAAGGTAATGAATTGGCATATCATAAGCTATGATCTCTAATCGGAAGTCAATATTCCAGCCTTATTTGTAAATGGAGTTACATTGAACCACAGTAGAGAATATGCCAGTGAAAATCGTAATCTTGACAAACTGTTGAATCTTCCTTAACTTTTTGATGGCCTCTACTGGGAAAAGTTGATTTGATAATGTTCTAGGTAAGAGACTATCAGGAAACCAATATCCTGTCACCGCGATCAGTAAAGTGACTCTACTCATTGCGGATCGTCTCCGGAAAACTGGTCCCCATATGGAAATTCGTCACTTGTATAGACGAACCCGTCTTGCCTCGGCCTGACCATACCCCCAATTGTGGCACTTTTTGCGGATGCCGCCACGTTGGTTTTCCCTCATATCAGTATAAGATTTGCCAAATAATGCTGAAGATAAAGCATAACGTTAGCATCTTCCGCAAACTGCAGCTCATGCCATCTTTCTTTCATTTCAAACCATCCCATGAACGTTATGATAATCACAAACGGGTGGAAGAGTTACTCAATAAATCTGCCATAGGGAGAGAGAGAGAGAGAGAGATGAAGATGTTTAAACGCAGCAGTTAAGCGTCCAATAGCAAAGATACTGCGGCCTACAACAGTCAGCAAAATTGTGATGTATTTAATCCTCGAGTTCTAGCAATATGCCATGCGATTAAAACCACTAGTAAAAAAACTGAAGAATTGGAGGAAACACCAAGCTGCCGCACGCAACTAACGAACAACACGATTGTTGACCCGGAAATAGGTCAAAATTACCTGGCTAGGTTGCAATGCTTGGGAAAATACCAGGCTAAGAACGTGATCCCTAGTAGTTCCTTCCATATTTTAAATTCACTTAGTATTGTGGGTATCCAAATCGAGGGTTTTGAGACTCACCTACTGTTGATCTGGCGCTCTTACCTTATGCCAGGAAAACAAGTTCGCTCTCTGGAACTGCATCCATGTACACGTGGCATCCTCAGGATTGCGCGGTTCCAAAAACTGCCGGAACCTAGGTAACCAGCTAATGCATCCTGGTAGCATTAATCGCAAATTACTAATTAGCGTGTTTGGCCCATTCCGAGTGATGGGCTTCCAAAGTTACAGTGATTTGCCTTACTGCGAACGGTTGTCACTACTGTTTTGACTCCAAGTCAATGAGGTCAGCTAGCTGGTAAATTTTGGGAATACAGTTGAGTTGAGATATGAGACAACCAGCAGTGGGTGCCTAAAGTCATACTGCTGCGTTGCTTAGCAAAAAAACCATTATAAACCTGAGGCAGGCTGAATTGTACCGATCTCACTTCAGTGGTGTTTCGTGATTGGAAAGGCCTTTGAGGACCAGACGTTATTTACTGGTAAAATGCTTGTTAATGTGTTTGGAAGTAACGATACCATCGCAGTCCCCCTTCATTCCGATGATATTTGAATGCTGTTTAATCCACTGAAAATAAAATGAAGGGCTTATTGTCACTGGCCCATTTCACGAGTTGAAAATTGCACGCAGTTTCTCAATATGCCTTGCTTTCCACCAGCTCTTCTTTTTGACAGGTAGTTTATAATGTCCGAATGCTTGGTAATGCGTCCTGGAATGTACAAGTTTCAATAATTTTCTTACCTAAGGAATGTCTTAAGAACGTGTTGAGAGATACGAATATATAATTTACATATAACTTACATATAACTTATATATATACATATAATATATATCTATATATATATAATATATATATGCTTTTATGGTGATTTTATTCACCGTCGACTCACGCCAATAATTTACTCCGTGAAACATTTTACCCTGCTACGACAGACCTTTTCATGTAAGTAATAAAATGATTAAAGTTTTGATCATATAGAACTCTTGTGACTGCGGAGGGGATATTGCTAAATGATCAATAATTATCTGTCTTCTGCATCGCGCAGACAAAAGATAGGCCGTCATCTAGATATAAACGCCCTATAATGGCTAAAAACGTACATTTACTATTTCAAAACACGGCATCCCGCGTTCCTTGTAATAGACAAAGCAAAATTAAGCAAATCTATTTAAAAAGATTAACGAACCGCTCTGCGAGTCATAAGGAAATGGCCGGGCTCAAGAACTTCCCCGTCGCATCATTATAGTGACTGTTTAAGGAGACGTGGATTTCTATTCCTCAAGCCTGAAGTCCACGAGCATTTTAATGAGGCATGTCCGTTTGGTCGACGGTTTCAACACCATATTTTTGATAATGCTAATAAACCATAAAGAAATTGGTCTTCAGCTGGGTGTTGCTGCCTTAAGCATAAGAGTTAACTGCGATATAAAAACATTTTGTTTTATTTTTAAGCAACGTTTAACAGTAACCCAAACCCACATCCTACTTTATAAACTTAAAAGTTAATGAACATGCTTGAGCATTTCCCAATCACCTGCCACGAAGCACCAGTATCAGCTGACGACGGCCGTTCAGCAGAAAACAGAGGAGCTCCCCATGAACTCCAAACTCAATTCCGTGTACGTTAACGCATGAAGTTTATTCTACAAAATTAAGAAGATCCGGATGCATGTCTGCATCCTCTCCTCAAGCGTTGTCTCAATAATAGAAACAAGGTTGTTTCAACCGGTGGACGACCTGGAGCCTGTAATTTTTCAGTTCAGCAAAGTTTTATTAATTAAAAGATATGCGAACGCCTTTGAACTCCATACTGGTTACACATTGTCTATGAAAAAGCACAGGAAAATGAAAAGATGTGAGAGAGATTGTTTGCATTATTGTATGCTGAAATTAGACAGCTGTCTGCTGGCCGAAAAGAGTAAACATCAACGGCCATTCACCCACTGTGAGTAGTATAAACACATGTAAGTTGGGTTATTAGTTATGTGAGTGCGTGTAGCTGATATTTGGGAGACTAAAACGCGTCTGGAGTTCAATCATTTTTAAGGGACTGAAAAAACCGCAGGAGTAGTTGCACGGTCACGTTAGTAAAAAAATGCCAGGGCGACTTAAAGTACGGATGCAGTGTGATTTACCGTAGGTGCAACGGGTTCTCAAGGCCTTGATGTCTTTACAGCATATCGACCAAGGAGTACTGACCCTGCGGCTGATACCCAACTGCCCGAAAAATTTCAACTTTCTGTTATGTGGCCGAAAATTTCCATCATTTTGAACTTTAGTGCACCTCACATCGACTGGAACTCGGCCTCCGCCGACTGTTTTAAAACAGTATTCGACCGGAATCTACTGCGGACTTCTAGCAGTTCTTTTCTTACCGAGCACAGCATGTTTCCGAAAAGAGTTCGCGAGGGCAAGCAGGTAAACTGCATCAACCTTGCGTTGACTAAGTCGCCTGACAGCATCGACATTGTGAATTTCCTCCCCCATTCAGTCAGAATGACCATGCAGTTCTCGTGGAGAAATACACCTTACTTTCACGACCTGCCTGACTGCTTGACCCCTGCCGAATTTTTGGCTTGGCAATCTCGAGCAGATAAAAAATGATCTTCGTTCTATTAACTCAGCACAAACACTCCGGCGATATCGGCCATTGTCCAATCAGATGAAGAAGATCAACGAGCAAACCCCGCTGGTTGACTCCATTATTAAGGAAGGAAGTTTACAGAAAGAGGAAACTATGGAAAAGTTCCTTAATTCATCGGACGCCTGAATCCCTCGACGGATACAAGTTGCAGGAAAGCCGGTTCAGAATTATCAGCGGCAGAGATCAAAAAGTCTTCGAAGAGGATATTTTGGGCCATGCCATAGTTAATCCCATAGTCTCAGGTAGGGTTAGGGTGAAGGCCCACAAAAATCTACGGCATATAAAGAGTGTCTACTGTACTTGTTAAAGTAGGTTGTATGTCACTGATTACTCCTCTTAACAGGAAGTTCGTTTTCGGGCGTCTGTCATTAACGTTACGGTTCGTCTTATCATTTCTTCAGATGACCCTAGTTCATACAAGTGGGAAGCGATCTTTTGGCTTTCCCCCTTCTTCGTAAATGTTGTTCTTCACCTTAGCATTACCTACGATGGCCTAGGTTGAGATATTTCAGGAGTGATCGTATTGGTTGGGCCGTTCATCGTAGACACTACACCTCTCTTT